TGGTAATTCTCTAGTAAAGGACGAGGACCGCACACAGGATATTAAGTACCGAAGCAGGTTCAGAAGTTTCGCGTCTTTACTCTGACTCGACCTCAGCGACGTAGTGGCCGCCAGAGCTTTTGCAGTTAGAGGCCTGGCTCCAAGCTTCGCCCTCCTCGACTCTGAGAAAAACCCCATGTGTTGTGCAATAAATCACTGGCTCTTGACCTGTGTCCTGGAAGTGCTGGTAGCTGATGTCATGGCGTGCCGCAGTGCCCCTGGGTAGCGAGAGGCGCAACCATTGTGTGCAGCTCTGCGCGTCTGCAGATGTGTGCTGGCGTGCCGTCGTCCAGCGGCCATCATGCAGTGAGTGGCAATTTGCGACTCTGAACCACAGAGCTTGTTTTACTGTTCTGTCAGGTCCAGCCATGTAACCGATAGCAGATGTCTGCATTAAAGGCTCTTCGCCCACCAGGATGTATTTGCCGAGCCCGAGTGGGTGCTGACCGTCCCTGGACATTGACTAAAGCACACAAGCTGTCCCTTTCCTATTGGTGACAGCATTTGGGGCTCCAGTTCCCCCTTCCTTATGACATTCTGAGACCACTTTATGAGTTTATGCCCCAGTGAGGAATCCTGTAAGTGGAGAATGTAAAACCAGAAAGGCGGCATTTGGCTGCACGCTGAAGTCCAGTCCTTGTTACCCTACAGCACGAGTTTCTTAATATTTTCTCTGCCGCTACAGAAATCACATGGCAAACTGAAGGCTGGCGGGTCCAGGAACCATTAGTAGCTCTCAAGAAAGCATCCAGGGAGTATGGATAAGAGTCAAAGGTTGGGGAAGAGGGCCCTGAAGGAGGCCTGTGGGAGGGATGCATGCAGGCTAGGAGAAAGGGCGAGATGGTCTGTGCCAAGTGACTAGCTAGTACCACTGGAGTAAGTGCCCTTCTACCCATCTCTCTGGCCAACTTCTGTTGTTAGTGCCTCATTACTTCTGAATCTTGGAAGCATAATGTGTGTTTTTGAGTGGATTTTGGGAGAAGGTCGCCAGCCCGTGGAAGCAGGCCAAAAAGCAGGCATTTTGCCTATTCGTGCAGCTCCCTCTGGTTTCTGGAAGGTACAGGCTTACCCATCAACAGAAGAGCATTCTTTAAAAAGAAGACAGGCTTCCAAAAACATCGTCAGAGTTTGTTGCCCAAACATCTCAGGTTCTTTCTGAAGACCGGGAGCCAGGGAGGTTTGGAAACACCTCTGTCTTCGTTTTCAGTACTAGAAACCCCAAACTTCCGGCTCAAGAAAGTGGGGGGTAGCTCCTGGGAGTTACTTATTTATTTATTTTTGGCCAAGGAAAGGTTTTTTTTCTGTGTTAGAGCTGCCACCTTTTGTCAGTAGGTGGTATTGCACTCCAGCTTCCCTTTGCTCTGTGCTGTGTGGCTGGGATTGAAGGCAGGGCCTCCCCTGCACCAAGCACGCACCCAGCACGGAGCCACACACTCGTCCAGTGGCTTCAGTTTAAAAGCCATTCATCTGGGGCACTTTTTTTTTTTTTTTTAAATTATCACAAAGCTCTATGAGAGTGTGAAGGCACCAACCACCTGACTTGGGGACTCTGCGTGCCACATCTCTGCGTTGTTTCTTGGGGCTCCTGGCCAAGCCACCAGTGTATCAGGTTCCAGCCTTTAAACAATGGCTGCAGGGAACCAGCCATTCCGCTTTGCTCAGTATTTGCCTCTTTCTTCCCCCCCCCCCCCCCCCCCCCCCCCCCCGTATCTCTGTCTCGCTCTTGCTCTCTCTCTCTCTCCCTTTTTGTTTGAGACAAGGTTTCTCTGTGTAGCCCTGGTTGTCCTGGAACTTGCTCTTTAGACCAGGCTGCCTTGAATTCAGAGATCGGAAGTGCTGGGATTAAAGGTATGTGCCACCACCACCTAGCTGCCACTTTTTTTTTTTTTTAAATTATCCTTTTATTGTTACTGTTTTTTTCTTTTTTATCATTTAAAACAATTTAAAATTTTAAGTATGTTTCGATCATATTTTTCTCTCCTCCAAATCCTCCCAGATCTCCTCCCCTTCCCTAGCCACCCAATTTTAAGTTCTTTCTCAAATTGAAATAAAAATTAAAACCCCAATACAACAACAACAAAAAAAATCCCCCCACCAAACCAAGAAAACAAGATAAGGCAACATCCAAACCGAAAACGAAAACACAAAATTGCAGCCAACTAAAAACATACAAAAAACCTTGTGGAGTCCATTATATGTTGGTCAGCTGCCCCTGAACAATGAGGCCTGCCTTGGAATAGTTGATACATCCAGTGTCACTCTACTGGGGAAACGAGATTTACCCCTCCCAGCAGTTATAAATGACAGTTCATTGTTAATCTTTATGCTATATTGGCTAAGTTTTACATTGATTTAATATATATATATATAAAACAAAGCCAGGAATGGTGGTACACACCTTTAATCCCAGCAGTTGTGAGGCAGAGGCAGGCAGATCTCTGAGTTTGAGGCCAGCCTGGTCTACAAAGCAAGTTCTAAGGACAGCCAAGGCTGTTAATATTAGAGAAACCCTGTCTTGAAAAATCAAAAGTAAAATAAAATAGAAGTAAAACTATAAAAACATATAATAAGATAAAACAAAAACTGTCATATTGGAGTTGGACAACAGAAGGAAAAGAGCCCAAGAGAAGGCACAAGAGCCAGAGACTCACTCGTTGGCACACTCGGGAATCCCATAAAAACACTAAGTTGGGAACTGTATCTCTGCTGAGAGCCTGGTGCAAGCCCTGTGTGTGCTGTTTCGAGCTGTGAGCATGTTGATCTAGAGGGTTTTGTTTTCTCAGTGCCCTCCATCCCCTCTGGTGCTTATGCGCTCTCCGCCTCCTCTTTCATAGTTATTTTTTTTTCTCTTGTCTCGGTGAGTTGTTGTAGGCATGGTTGCTAGTAGAACTTGCCTGGCTAGTTGGGAAAAGAAGCGAGGATTGGGGGTGGGGGTGGGTGCCGAGGGACCCAGACAAATCAGCCCCGAGGTCCCCTTAGACCAGGGCAGAAAGTAAAAGCTTATAGGACAGCTCACAGACCTGTGGTACTAAGTGTTTTAAAGGGTACTTAGGGCTAGGAGATGCGGTTTCCTACATTCATTTATTCGTGTATAGAGTTAAGAGGACAGACAAAGTGCAGGAGTCGGTTCTACCATGTGGGCCCAGAGGATCAAACTCAGGTCATCAGGCTTGGTGGAAAGTGACTTTATCTGCTGAGTTATTAGCTCCATGGCCCCGACAGGCTTCTGGTGATGGATTGGGGGAGGACTGGAAAGGGGAGCGAGAGGAGGAGGAATGTGCTGGAATACCCTTTTGAGATATTTAGTGTGTGTGCTATTAACCTAACGGTGTCCTGGGCTGGGGAGGCAGCAATCGAAAGCCCTGGGGTTTGAATACCTCCCGCCCCCCACCTGCCACACCTGGCTTGTGCTTCATGCGTGTCTGTTCTTCAGCTAGATACCAGCAGAAGAGAAAAACAGACCTGGAACAGCAGAGACCACAATGCTCAGAGACCCAGAGGAGTTGAGAGGCACAGGATGGCTGTGGGGAGGAGGGCCATGTGAGCTGGCAGAGGCCGGTTTTTCCTCTTCTGTTTAATGATTTATTATTTTTACTTTATGCATACAAGTGCTGTGCTTGTGTGTATGTCTGTGCACTGTGCGTGTTTGGTGCCATCAGGGGGCAGAAAATAGACCTTTGGATTCCCTTGAACTGTGGTTACAGATGTTTGTGAGCTACGGTGTGGATACTGGAACCAAACGTGGGTCTTCTGAAAGAGCAGCTGGTACTTTTAACTGCCAAGCCACCTTTCCCGTCCTGGTGGCAGTAGTTTCTAGAAGAAAAGCAGCAAGATGTGTTTCCAAGGTTGTCTGCAGCTTTGAAGAAAACCCAGCTTGGGAGTCTATGTGTCTAACAAAAGCCCTCCACACTAATCTGGCAACACCATGTGAAGGACCCTTACTCACTAAGGAAGCGATGGAGGCTGTGTGTTATGCTGAGGCCCAGCCCAGAGGATGTCTGATGCAGGCAGAGTAGCTGAGACAGCAAAACATTGGTTCTGGCCTTCTGGGCAGTTATGGGGGGGTTGTTAAAACAGCAGTATTACACCTGCCTAAGAAAGTACTGGCGGCTGTTTTTATAGAACAATATTTTCTGATGTAGCAAAGATTTAGCTGGTATATTAAGTGAAAACCAGCTTACCAAAAAACGATTTCATTTTTATAGAAATAAAAGTGGCTGAAATGAGTGAAGTGGCTCACACTTGTGATCCTAGCACTTAGGAGGCTTAGGCAGGAGGATTGCCACAAGTAAGGCCAACTTGACCTGCATAGTAAGTTCCAGGCCAGCCATGGCTACGTAACATGACCCTGTGTCAAAAACAGAACAAACAAACAACAAACAACACCACAACGGGTAGTATGTGAGTACAGTTAGCGAAGAGGAATCTGGATGTTTTTAGAAAAAAGAAAAAGGGAGTCAGGCCTGGGGCCCCAGCTCAGTAAAGTGCTCGCCTGTTGTGCATGGAACCCTCGGTTTGGCCTCCAGCACCACTGAGTTACACAAAACAGGAGTCTTCAAAATGTAAAATAAAACAGAAACAAGAAACTGGGAATGGTGAGGAGTGGCTATCTTTGGGAGGCAGGTTCACAAGTGATTTTATTGTCTTTGTGTTTATCAATATTTCCTACATATCCTCCTAGGAATAAGTCGTTTTTTTTTGGTTTTTTTTTGTATGATGCATAAATAGAGTCAGCAGGATGGCTCATCAGGTACAGCAGCTGGCCACCAAGCCTGCTGTCCTGAGTTTGATCCTTGTGACCTACATGGTGAAAGAGAGAACTGACTCCTGAAAGTTATTCTCTGGCGTTGACACATGGGCGGTGGCGCAAATGCACAAAAATGTGTGCGTGTGTCTGAGAGAGAGAGAGAAAGAGACGGAGAATTCACTCAGTTCACTCACTGTTCCTTTTGTCTCTTCAGCAGACAGGAGCAAAGTATCCAGTATGCTGTCCCGACGCCTTGGTAAGCGCTCCCTCTTGGGAGCCCGGGTGTTAGGACCTAGTGTCTCCGAGGTGCCATCAGGGGCCGGCCTCCCCTTGGAGCCACAGATAGAAGTGCCGGAAGGAGCCCTGCCCCAATCCTCACTCACCTCTAAGGACCCCGTGTTCCAGGATCAGCCCAAGGAAGTCATCAGGGCTCTGGGTACCTCAGGCCACCCACAGGTGGTCTTTCAGCCTGGACAGAAGGTAGGTTGATCCCAACACAGACACATAACCTTGAGAATCGAGACTGGCAGACTAGTGGTGCCTGAGTCAGACCAGGGCATCTCCATAATTGTCATGCGGAGGAAAAAGTGGCCAGGCATTCTGGGGGTGCTCAGAACCTCAGATCAAAGCATGGCCTTGACTCGCTGGCTTTCTGTTTGCCTCACTTCACAAATGTAGGTGGCAAGGAGAAGGACTTTAGACTGCAGAAGCCAGAGAAGCAGTTTTCGGAAGCTGCAGGTGCAGGAGTAGTCCAGATCTGAGGAGAATTTTCCTTTCTTGTACCCTTTGCCATGGCTGGGTCCATGGCCACCTAGGCCTGATCTGTCACTAGATCCAGATTAGTGGGGCTTTAGCCTTCTCTGGGGTCCATCCACAGAGACCTGGCCTTTGTCTTCTCTTGAGGCTTGATGTCCCCTAGACCTCTGTCCTCATGAGATAAGATGGCTTTCCTGCTCCCAGGTACCCTGACGGAAGGAACAGTCTGTCTCTTTCCCTGTCCAGTGAATGCTGGGGCTTAGAACTCTCCAGAAGAAAAGCATTGAGTAAGAGGCATATAAGAGTTCAGGGGCAAGGAGGGGGTGGGTGATGGATGAGCATGAATTTGAGATTCAGGGAAACCCCAGTTTCTGGCCTGCTCACTAGCTCCTGGGGTAGAGAGTGTGTAGGGAGCTGAAGGAGAAGATTTGATCCCACATGGCTAACCTGAGCGCTTGGGTAGGCAGCAGGTCCCTGGGAATCCCTGCTTTCTCCTGGCCTGTTTAGGCTGCTGTAGTGGAATACCTAAGGTGGGGTAATGAAAAGACAGTAGCTAATTTGGCTGAACCTGCAGGAAACTGGGAAGTCCAAGAGGAGGATGAGAACAGGAAGTGAGAGGGTCTACATCCACCTGTATCTCCCTGCCTGCTCCACTCCCTGGCTTAACTCTCCTGTTGTGACAGGCCGTTTGAGAGAGCAGCAGTTCTCATGACATACTTGCTCCCACTAGACCCCACGTCCTGACACTGGTCTCGGGCATTAAGTATCTAACATGTGAACACCCCAGTCTTTACACGGGGTGACTGCCAGATCTTAGCGCAAGCTCAGACTTCAGCGGACAGAGCTCGGCACCTATGTCTCGGGGGCTTTGGTGTGGGAACTCCTGAGTGTTGACCACTGGCCATCATTCCCCTGCAGGTCTGTGTGTGGTATGGAGGTCAGGAGTGCAAGGGCCTGGTGGAACAGCACAGCTGGGCCGAGGACAAGGTGACAGTCCGGCTGCTGGACCAGAAGTTACAAATCTGCTGTAAAGTGGAAGAGGTGTGGCTGGCGGAGCTGCAGGCTGCCACACCCCAGCTGCCAGCCTCGGAGCCCAGAGCCCAGGTGCCAGCCTACAGACCTGTGTCTCGGAACATCGATGTTCCAAAGAGGTTTGTACGAGTGGCGAGGGTTATAGATATGGTCTGGGGCGTGGTGTGGGAATGTGGGGTCTTGGGTACTTACTTGCTGGAATAGTGAAGCGAGATAAAGAAGAGGCGTCCTTTTAGGAAGCTGGGGTACCATTCTTTTTTCTCCATCGCTCTCCTGTGCTGACGTGTATTTGGTTTGGTGAAAGTTTAAACTCAGCTCATAATTTTTCAGGAGAAGAGACAGGAGCAGATGGCTTAGATTGGTGCCAGGGCTGGTTCTATGCAGGGTGGAGAAAAAGATTTCAGCCTTGTGGGCCAAGCAGACTCTGTCCTGACCACCTGTTGCAGCAGCCATCGACCTACAGGCACAACTGTGCTTCCTTCAGTGCAGACTAGTCAAGATCCCCAAACGTTACTGCAATTCTGTGTCATCTGTATGTGTCATTTGTCAAGAAGTAAAGGGCTTTTGCTTGTTAAATAGCATTTAAAAATGCCATCCTTTCATAGCTCAGAACCGGACAGGCAGGAAGCCGCTGTCGGGAGCACAGCTGCCATGATTCTTCACACTAAAAACCCCTGGGTGAAGAATGGATTTTCTGCCCTAGAGCTTAATGTTATGATGTCACCAGGGGCTCTGGATGGCAACACACACCCTATGGTATATCTCTGTGGACCTTTTAAGATTTAAAAGGAGAATCTGGGGCTGGGAAATGGCTCAGTGGCTCTAAAGTGCTCGCTGCACAAGCCCAACAGCTGCAGTTCAGTACCTGGAGCCCATGTACAGGTGGAAGGTGGAGGAGTCTACCCTACAGAGCTGATCTCTGACCTCCACATACATGCTATGTCATGAGTGTGCTAGCCCTCACAACATGCGCTAAAATAATAATAATAAAATAAAACAGAGAAACTTTGCCAGCGGAAGGATATGCAGACAGCTAAGCCCATCCCACCCCTGTCTGTGGGTATGGGGAATGTTGGCAAATTAGGAGGCTTAAAAGTGTTTCTTACTGCGTTCATTTATCACGTTTGGGGGGTGTGCAGGCTGTGGTACACACTCGGACACCAGAGGATAACTTTCAGGAGTCAGTTCTCCCACTCTGTGGGTGCTGTGTCCTGAGCTGAGCTAGCCAGGCTTGGCAGCCAGCACTTTTACCCACGGAGTCGTCTCGCTGGCCCAGAGGACCCAGTGTTTTAAGACCAGAGGAGCAGCGTTTCTGGTAGTGTATCCATGGGAAGGCCAGCAGAGAACTTGTTTTTCTCTTGAAAACACAACAGAGATGATGTAGAGTACCATTTACTGTGTTTACTGTGGTCTGTCTGCTTCAAGCCCAGTTGCTGAGTTTAGTAGACCTGGTGTATAAAGAGTGAGTGAACGAGGCAAGCCACTGGCCGTTTATTACATTCCAATTTTCCCCAGATACTCTAGATTTCAGATAGGACTTACTTCACTTCCGAGTTTAGAGGAAAAAGAAAAGCACATGAAAGATTCTAGGCAGCCTGTATAAAGCATGGGGCTTAACACTGGGAGATGGTTTCATCCGGTTATTTATTTTATCCTGGTTTGTTTGCCCGTTGCCTTATGTAATAGGCTCTGTTGACATTCAGAAGCTGACAGAATGCCATGTTTATTTTGGCAGAGGGGGAGAGAGAAATCCATTAGTGTAATTGTTTCCTCTTAAATTTGAATATAAGACAGGGGGAAGGAGGTAATTACAGTGTTTAGATTCCAGTGGGTATCATTTATTCCCATGCTTCACCTTACCCTCTCGACTCTTCTCTCTGCCCTCCCCTCCAAATAAAATGCTCCACTGTAAGTTGCAGGGGTGGAAGGAGAGTTTCAGGAAGGCCTTTACCTTACTGTCGGTTGAGCTTATGCTGGTTGACTGGGTGGGGCTCTGAGGAGACCGCTGTCAGTGTAAGGTGACCCCAGGAAATAAGCAGATGTGGCAGCTTCATCTGTGGGCATTGTGGGACCCGTTGAGCCCAGGAAGTAAGCACTCCCCCCCCCTCATTTGAATGCAGGAAATCAGATGCGGTGGAGATGGATGAGATGATGGCGGCGATGGTGCTGACGTCCCTGTCTTGCAGTCCTGTGGTGCAGAGTCCTCCTGGGGCTGAGCCCATCTTCTCTGGTGAGCGAGTGGGGTTGGGCTTGTGCCTGGCATGGCAGAGGCCCATGGCTCTCTCTTCCCAGCTTCTGATTGCCAGGGTACGCCCGGCAGTAGGGTTCTGGAGGCCCGTAAGACTGTTGGTCTAGAAGTGCACGCACCTGAGCAGAAACCTCTTGGTGCTTTGTGACAGTGCCTGGGCTCAGCACCAAGCCAAGCTGCCCCGCCACTCAAGCATGGGAGCCCGGACAAGGCCTACAGGAACATTTATTTGGTTCACAAAAGCAGAACTCGGCTCAAAGGTCCCCTAGGGGCTTCTGATGATCAGTACTCACTTTTCAGTGCCCGAGTCAGCCTCACCGGTTAGAGCAGGTGCACAGGCCACATACCAGAGCTGAATTCTCGAATTTGATTGCTTTGTACAAACCAATAGTGTGGGCCTGTGAAGTGGCTCTGGGTGAAGGTGCTTGCTGCTAAGCCTCACCACCTGTGTTTGGTTCCCGGGACCCGCAGGGAGGAAGAAAAGAATTGACTCCCCTAAGTTGTCCTCTGACTTCCATTTATGCATGCTCGTTCTCTCTCTCTCTCTCTCTCTCTCTCTCTCACACGCACACGCATTAATAAAAAAGTCCCCAGTAGTATGACTTTTGATTTATGGATATAAATAGAGTTCTCTGGTTATAACCCCTACGTCCTTTAACCAGTCCTTGGGGTGGAGGCAGCCTAGAGAAGGATTGCAGAGTAAGGCTTTTGACCACACTGGTAGGGACTTAAGTTATTTTAATGGAGAATCCTTATCTGCTTGTCAGCGTTTTAGGAGAACATGAAGCTACTTCTAACTCATATTGAGAGGAAAGTGGCCTTTACAAGTGTCCCTTACAAGTAATCTTTGATCGAAAGCAAACTTTACTCCACCCAGAGGCTGTCACTGCACTTGGGGACATCTAGTGGTGAATCCTAGCAGTGCAGCCTACTTTACTGAGCACAAAGAAGACCCCGAGGAGGGATGCCAAATTCTCAGGAAGTTTAAGTCCAAGAAGTTGAGTCAGCTGATTCAGGGAAGTTGCTGAAGGGAGTTCCCTCTTGGATCCTTGTTCATGGGACCATGATCAGTTGTTCCGGACACTTCTTGAGTTCTGCCCTAAACATCTACTGTTTTAAATTGTTTGTGGCTGTGGTAATCTCTCAGTTTCTAGGAAGAAAACTTTAAGACAGGACAGGGGTACCCCGGGGAGGAAGGGGTTCTTTACCCTGAATCCCATTCGGGCAAGTGACTCCTAGAAGTAAAGAGAGCCTCGCCTGGAAATGTGGGGCCTCAAGGTTGGCCCAGCCTTCAGATCTGCCCTGATCACTTCGGGTGACAGTGTCTCTTTAAGGCCAGGGTCAGGGGACTCTATACCATCCGGATATGAGCTGGGACTGCTGGGCGATAAGGTTTTCACTTTTTTTTCTTGCTATTCCTCTGTATTAGACTTTCAGATTACCTTGTGCCATCAACTGGCTTGGCGCGAGATTGGAAGACAGAGTCCGAGAGTGTCTAACTTGAGCCTAAAGCAGCCCACAGACCCCATCAGTTGAAAAAATACAAATCTAGGCATGGGGTTTTGCTCAGTGCTATAGTGCGTGCCGAGAATGAACAAGGCCCCAGGTTTTATCCTTGGCACTACAGAAGACAAAGAGCAAAGTAAAACAGTAAACAACAACAACAAAAAAAACCCTCCACACACAATCAAGAAAAACTAAACAGGAGACTCCTACTTGTAATGTGTGTTTTTCCTTAGGGGCAGGTGGCCACTGCAGTGACAGGTAACACAGGGCTTCCTGTCACCGAGAGGTCACCTGGCTGTATTCTCTGAAGAGTCCTGGGAGGTTTCTTTTCATACCCTTGTCCAAGTTGACATGATTGGAAGGGATTTTTCAGGAACAAAGGTATCCCACTTGCTTTCACCTTGTGAATATTCCCCGCCAGGCTGGGCCCAGGGCAAGTTCCTCCTTTTAGCATGGACAGCATGAACTAGGTTTTACTCTCGTTCTTTTTATTAATCCTCAAAGAACTGAGGTTGCAGTATGCATGTGGTAGTCAGTGATCACCCATGTGGCCATGGCAGAAAATACCCAGCGGGCAGAGCGGCTGTAGCACCGAAAATCACCGTAGTATTTGCACCTGTCCTGATCTTATAGCTCAGGAAGAAGTTTCTTTAATGATTAAAATTGTTTAGTAATACTTTAGTTTTTACCGTTTTATTTTGCTTTGATCCCGGGGATAAGCCTGACTGTTCTTCCCTTCCTCCACCTCCCTGCCTGACCAGTTTCCCGTGCAGCCTGTGGCGACCCATGGAAGGAGAGCGGTGATGTGTCTGATAGTGGCAGCAGCACCACGAGCGGGCACTGGAGCGGGAGCAGCGGCGTCTCCACCCCCTCGCCCCCCCACCCTCAGGCCAGCCCCAAGTACCTGGGAGATGCCTTTGGGTCTCCCCAAACTGATCATGGCTTCGAGACCGACCCTGACCCCTTCCTGCTGGATGAACCAGCCCCGAGAAAGAGGAAGGTAGGTGTCTGGTGAGCATGTGGCGTGCGTGGGGACAGCAGGGACACCGTAGGTTCCAGGTATTTCTAGTCTTCCTCTGCTTCACTTGTCAAATTCCCAGGCTGAGGTGGCTGGTTCCTCTTCTTTTTCGTTTTTTGGGGTATGTGTTTGTGGGTGTGCACGCACATGAGGCCAAGGGTCAACCTCAGGTATTGTCTTGAGGTGCTGTTAATCTCTCCCTCCTCACCCCATCTTAGTTGTTGGGTTGTCGAGACAGGCTCTCTCACTGGCCTGAAGCTCCCCAAATAGGGTAGGTTGGGTGACCAGTGAGCCCGGGGAATCTTAGGTCTGCCTCCCCTCTTGTTATTGCACTCGAGTGCCCCTCTCCCCCTTTTTCCTTTACTGTGACCAGTGAGGCACTTCTCAAGTGCTCTTGTGCATGTTCCTACATTCTCCGGGAGTCCCTTCCCTGGAGTTTTCTCTTTTGGGTCCAGCTGATGGTGGCAGCCAGCTGAAGTCCTCATCAGGCAGTGAGAGAGGCCGGGGAGAGGGAGGCGCAGACACCAGCTACTAAGACTTCTCTCCCCCCCAGAACTCCGTGAAGGTGATGTACAAGTGCCTATGGCCCAGCTGTGGCAAAGTTCTGCGTTCGATTGTGGGCATCAAACGACACGTCAAAGCCCTCCACCTGGGGTAGGTGCCAAGTTCGGTGCCTCTTCTCCGAGGCGCCGTTTAGGTGTGTCTCTACCCTGCTAACTCTGCACGACCCGCAGCCTACCTTCTGGTGAAATGGCTTGCCTCGGGCGCCTCCCAGCGCCTCTCCCTGACCGCCGTTAGTTAGAAGGATGCCTTCCCTGGGCAGGGGGATTGTATCACGGTCACTGTTGATGCTCTTGCCCCAGAGCATGAGCTCTGTGTGTCTCGTAGTTGTTCCTTCCTACCTGGTGCAGGAAGCAAGAGGTTTCAGTTCTGGGTAGAAGTGGAACAGTTTGGCTCAGTCGCTGGTGAGCTTGTGTGGCGTGGACACGGCAGCCACGTTTCACTTCTGCTGCATGTGGGAGTTAAGTGTACCAGCTGTCGCACTAATGTGAGGGTCTCATCTCTGAAAAGTAGGCATGAACTGCCTCACAGGCCTGGAGAGCGTGCTGGAGATGGGGCCTCAAGAGGGCTGGGTCTGTGTCACACACGTTTGCTGTTGTGTGAGCTCTCGTGCCAGGAAGAACGTCTCCCGTGGATGGGCATGTTCTAATCCCTTATGATGTCCTCTGGGAGCAGGGCTCCTGGGTGCTCTCTTGGGCATGCCCCCCAACTTCCTAGGTGGGCACAAGCAGTCAGTTCCTCCCTGTAACTTTCTTTCCACTGGATTCGAACCAAGGCAGCATGTCCGTAACGGTGGCTGAATGTGTGTTCCACACAGGGACACCGTGGACTCTGATCAGTTCAAGCGGGAGGAAGACTTCTACTACACAGAGATGCAGATGAAGGAGGAATCTGCTGTGGCTGTGGCTGCTCCCCCTGCCCCGGGGACGCCCACCGGAGAGCCAGGGCCCGCCTCCCGTGTGACCAGCCCGTCCCTTGCTGCTCTTTCATTGCCTCCACCCAAAGTCCAGTCCTCCGGCCCAGAACACCCTGGCCTGGAGGCTTCCCTGCCCTCAGTTGAGCTCAGCAAGTCAGCTCCTGGCTCCTTCTGGCACATTCAGGCTGACCACGCCTACCAGGTACGGAGCAGCCATATGTGGGGGGCCCAGCCTGGGAGCTCAGTGGTCACTGGCCGTCAGGGCACAGGCCTCTGGTCACCTTGACTCAAGACTGAGCCTTCTGGCCAAGTTGCTGATCTCACTTCCACAGAGAGGGAAAAGGAAAGGCTGGGGATGTAGACCAGTCAGTAGGGTGCTTGCTTCACACACACACACAGGGCCCTGGGTTGTTCCTCAGCACAGCAGAAACCCCGTGTGTGCTAAGTCCCAGCACTTAGGGGCGGAGGCAGGACGAGCAGAAGTTCAGGGTCACCCTCGCCTACAGAGGGAGCGGAGAGCCAGCTTGGGCTTCTTGAAAACCCCGTCTTGACAATGATGGCAGACAAAACAAGAAGGAAGAGACAGGACTCCCCCGTGACGCTGGCAGAGGGGAGAAGTCCAGCCACGGGTCGGTATGGGATGGGAACTGAGAGCCGGCACTGTGCAGACTGGTTAGAAGAGCTGCTGGGAGTGTACAGGGCTTCCCAGGCAGCCCCTCAGCTCCGAGGGTTACATTGAACGGTCCTGCTTTGAGTACCTGCTAGGTGTCAGCATTGGCTTAGGTAAGCCTTCCAGTTAGAGTAGGACATGGCCCCTGCTTTCATGAAGTGTGTGCTGGAGCTAGTGTTAGCCATGAGGATTTGGCCGGGACTAATCGTAAGCTGTCAAAGTGCCGTTTCCTCGGGACACGAGAAGACTCGACATAAGGCCCAAGGAACACCACTCCGTCAGGCTTATGGGCCTGGGGAGTTGTCCTGGTGAGGGGGCAATGTCATTTAGAATGAGCTTCACCCTTTATGCTAAGTTCACACGCCCGTATGCCGCTCTGAAGCCCTTTTTTGTGTTTATAGTTTGACTTTGGCAGACTTGACCAGTTTGCAAGTTAGTAAATGAAAAGCAGTGCTTTCAGCCAGCTGTGCCAGTGCGTGCTTGTAATTCCGGTGGTACCCCGGAGGTCAAGGTCAATGTGGGCTATGTAGTAAGGCCAGCTGCCACCCTAAAACCGGTGGTGCTTTCAATGAAGGGGGAAAAACACCTTGCAAAATAAGTGGGCTCTCCTCGTTAGAATTAGTGGCCACTTAGTCTGTATCTGACCAGGGCTCAGCCTTCGCTGACCGTGGCATCTGGATAGTGTGGCTGGTATTGTTATGGATACATCTAAGCCAGACTTCCCTGCTCGTATCCCCACTCCAGAGCAGTTGTCTGGCAGTTCTCTGTCCTGTTCCAGAAGTACCACGCAGACTCAGGAGGCTTTGAACTTTTTGCCTGAAGCATGTTCTCAGTAGGCGTTCCAGCCACAGAATAACCCTGTAAGGAATAAGTCACGAGGCTAATGTGCAAGCAGTCCCAAGGGCAGGGTCACGAAGTCAGACTGGAGCCTCTCTGGAAGGAGGCGGTGGGTGTGTTGAAGGGTTAGAGGCTTTGAGGCAGATCACAGGAAAACCTAACCTAGCTGTCTTGGTGTTTCCCAGTAGGCAGAGGTGAGACACTGGTGTTGCCAGCGGGAAGTTACCTGGACCTGAGGCAGATAGGCATTTCTCAGTTAGAGCCCAGACTGATGCACTCTTGTCTTCGCAGGCTCTGCCGTCCTTCCAGATCCCCGTCTCCCCCCACATCTACACCAGCATCAGCTGGGCCGCTGCCCCTACCACCACCTCCCCCCTCTCTCCGGTGAGTGTGTACCCCAACACCCCAAAGCTCTTACCTGCATCCCCAGGGCCGGGGGCCTGTGCATCCTCGGTCGGGCTATACTTCCCCTCAGCAGCTATAAGGACACTTCCAGGGGAGTCAGGTGGAGCAGTTTCTTGCTTAGAAATATGCTGGGCAAGGCTAGACTCAGTCCCTTGTTCTGTGAGCGTCTGTGAGTGCTTGTTAAGAGTTCCAATGCCTGGATGAAAAGGAAGGGAGAGAATGTGGGCCTGTAAGAAGGGAGAACAACGAGGAAGATCCTATGTGCACTCGGAGGCCGCGTGGCCTGGACCAGAAGTCAGGCCACCATGGACGTGGACCCTTGACTCTGAACTGAAGGAAACTGGAAGTCATTAGAACCATGCATGGGTGGCTCTAGTCTCAAGTCTCTGCCACAGAGAAGCCTCCGCCACTGCAGAACCTAGTTACAGAAGGTGTCACTAAGGCATTACAATGCCTCCATTTGTCCCTCCATCTAAGTCCCCTAAAGCCTTATGGGTAGCTCCCGCTTCTGCCCCTGACCCGACCCTATCTGCTGAGAATGTCCTCCTAGAGGAGGTTGCACGGTCCCCTGCACCAGCACCTGCTCTGGGGCTCAGGGAGTCGTCTCTCTGTCCTGAGGGGGGGCGGGCGTCATGCTCACAGCTCATGCTTGTATTCGTCACCCCCAGGTCCGGAGCCGCTCACTCAGCTTCAGCGAGCCCCAGCAGCCGCCACCCACCGTGAAGCCTCACATGATCGTCACCTCCCCGCCCCGGGCTCAGAGCAGCAGCAGGTGAGCCGCCCCACCCCCAGCCTTCTGCTTTCCGCCCGCCCTCAGCACTGGCGGGGTAGACTGTGAGTCTACCCGGCTGGAGTCCCCAGGGTTAGGTCCCCCGAGGCCGCGCTGGCCGAGCTGGCCTCTCCTCCCTGCATCTCTGGCTGCAGGTGCCGCTGACAGGCCCTTCCAGCTCCTCCGCGTTTGCCTGCTCAGGCCCGGCCGGCCGTTGTCTGGGTCTCACCGCCATTGAATGACACCACCCTCATCTCATTTCCTGCCAGGAAAGCCCGTGGAGAGGCCAAGAAGTGCCGGAAGGTGTACGGCATCGAGCACCGGGACCAGTGGTGCACGGCCTGCCGGTGGAAGAAGGCCTGCCAGCGCTTCCTGGACTGAGCCCGCCCGCCCGCATCAGCCCTGCCGCTCCCCACCCTGCGCAGTAGCCGGGAGGTCCCCAGGCCTGCAACCATCAGCAGAATACAGATGTGGAGTGGATGTGGGCAGCGGGGCCCCCACTGGCTAAGATATAACACTTAAAAACACTTTCTCCCCACCTTGTTGGGGCTGTTTTATTTTTCAAGAAAATGAAATGAAACTATTTTTTCCCCCTAAAAATAGGAGAGAGCCAGAATTGACCAAGGGTATTCTGCAGCGAACCAGAGACCAAAGAATCACCCCCCCAACCCTCACCCCCACCCCATCCTGCCCTCCCTGGGACTAGTTTGTACGCATCAAAAGTAGGACAGGAAGTCTTGCCTGCTTGTGTGCTGAGCTAGGAAGTCCTTTGCTCTCTCAGTTATTCCAGAATGGACTGGGAGCAAAATGAATTTACTTTTTTTTTTTTTTTTTTTAGGAAAAGAAAAAAAAAAAAAGAACATTGTGGCAGGTGGATGGCCCACAGGGCAGTACCAGGGCCCTGGGAAGAGCAGGCAGTGCTTTGGTTTCACTTCTGTTGGGGCAGCTTCTGGAGATGGAAGAGGGACATCCTTTTATGATGGCAACTTTTGGATCTGGGTCCCCTCAGTAGACTTTGGCTTCTTCTCAAAGCCTGTCCCAGAAAAGCCGAGCCAGGATGAATTCAGCTTGAGAGTGTGGCCTTGAAACACTACCCTGAGCACCCTTCCAGCTCTGAGAGGAAGCGTGGGGGGAGGGGGGTCTCCACAGAAACTAGGCTCCTGCCGAGTAGAGTCCTTCCCGAGTCCGCCTTCCCTCCAGAGTGTCACAGGGGCACTAAAACGTTGGGTCTTCTTGTTGGGTGTGGAAGTCTGACGGCAAGGCCTCCTTTTCCTGGGGGTTCTCTGGGAGATCCTTGCAGACTCTGCCTCTGGGCTGTCTACTGACATCCCAGGTGTCACAGGCTCAGGGAGTGCCACCAGGCGACCACTCCAGGGACTGAGCCGCATTGACTCATTAATTGTCACGGAGACAGTCCTCCTGACCACTGCGGCTCCACCGGTGCCATCACACGGGAAACACACAGATACTTTTCAGTCTGAGACACACTAGGGACTGTTAGAAAACCCGTGAACCTGAGAGATTGCGTGTGAGAGGCAAAAAGTGTAGCGGTAGCCTGGGCTGCTGGCAGAGGGGGTCCCCAGTGTCTGGGGTGTCTTTGGTAGAGATGTATTTTTATAAGGAGCCAGGGCAGCCAGAGGGGGCTCTGGGCTCTTCTGCACCTTCACCTTCATGGCTAATTAAGAGCTGGTGACCGAAGTTCCTTCTCTCTCCCTGCTTCCCACGAAGCTCAGCTTCCAGTCTTATGGAGTGGGTAGGGAATGTAGAGAGAAAGCGTCTGAACATGTGGGGACCCCACCCAGAGGCTCTCCTCTCCCGTTCTTAATCCCAGCGTGGACTGAGCATCCACTTCGGCAGAGGGGTTTTAACCCAAGCCTTGGTTTGGAGTTTGCAGATGTGTCTGACTGTAATGGTTTTCTCCATTGGAAGTAGGCTCCCTATGCCATTGGCATGCCAGGCAGAAAAGGAAGGGAGGGGAAATAAAAATTGATGGGACGGATGGCTTAAAAAGTGAGGGAGTTCTGATTTTGTTCGGTTCCTTTTTTCCATTTCCGTGCAGCCATCCACCTCTGTGTTGGTTCCCTCTCTTTTCTGGTGGTGTTGGCCTCTCCTACCCACTGTCCCCATACACCCACCTACCCACCCCCGCCCCCTCGTCTTGATGCTTTCGAGTTGGTTCCTGACACATGGTCTGGCTTTTAGTTTGAAGGGCAAGGGTGGCTTGTGAACATACCCAGCCGCCAGGCCCGCTTTCTTCATGTCTGTATCTCCCTGCTTCCTAGCCCCATGGGTTTGGAATCTTGACTGGGTGAAGGTACCACAGGCGCGTGCTTTTGAAACCACCAGGGCATAGCTTGCGAACCGTTACCTTGGGAAACCATCCAGCCACGTTTCCATTATTCGGAGCTCTCAATGTTACCTTCAGACTTGGCGCCATTTTGGGAGCAGCCTCAGTGAGTCTGAGGCACCCTACTCACTCCATGCTTCGAGTCCAGGGATACTGTCTTGTGGCCAGCGGAAGTCTCAGGTACAAAGCCGAAGGGCTCTCTGGTAACATAGGCTTGGATCAATGACGAGGCCTTTAGCCTGCCCCTGAAAGCAGTACTGTCGCTTCAGACAGTTCTGTGAGCAGCGGCTGCCTTGTCAGAGGAAGTGTACAGCTGGATGCCTTAGAGGACCCTGTGAAATTGGATGTGAAAACTGATTTGGTGGGGATAAAAAACAAAACAAAACAAAAACCTGTTCTGTTACTTTCTGGTCACCCCAGGTTTTGACTTTGCCAGTGGCAAAAAAATAAATAAAAATTAAAAAAAAAGATTAAAACAAAATAAAAAGGGAGAAAAATCCCATCTGTGAATTTGTTGTATTGGCGCTTCTCCCCTTCTGCCACACCCTCCCCGCTGTCTTCCAAGTATTATTTTTACTGTTAAGATTTTTTTTAAATGTGAAATGAAATGTAATGTTTTTACAGCAATGACATGAAATATATTTTATAAGGAATAAAATGGTACATTGTCTGACTCAGTGTGTGCCTGTACTGATTGCTCTCCTGTCCCTACAGTAGGTGGTAGGTGATAGCCATGTGACAGTTTATAATGTCGGTAAGTTGGGTGGGGATGTAGCTGGGTGGAGGAGAAGGTGTCTGGCTCTAGGTTCGGTGTCCTAAAGCAAATTCAGGTAGGTCATATTTACCAGGGAGCAGGCTGGGTGCTTTTAGGGTCTGTTGTTGAAAATAAAATGGTGTTGGGCTAAATATTATTAGCCCTAATTATTACTATGGTGTTATTATCTTACCTGCTATAACAATAAGACACAGTCATCTGTTAGATTTTTATAATTAGCTTACAACACCTTGGGCTGGGCAGATATTTTCACCTACAATCTCAGCAACCTCCCCATTCACCTCCCAGCTCCGTCCTATGCCATCCACCTTAGCCATTCTTATCTGGGCTACCTTTCATCCATAATCTTAAAAATACATGCATATATATATATATATATAAAATCATACATACAATGTTGGCATTTTCTCCATCCACACCATCCTCGGAGTCCTTCCTCCCAGATAACCCATCGTGGTGCATGATGTACTCCTTCCTCCTGTCTTCCTGTCTGTCCTCTGCTTTCCAAGATTGTCCTGTTTCCAAAGCCTGGGAACCTTAGCCATGCCTGCCTCCTTCTGCCCTTCCCAGGTACAGGCCTTTATTAACCAACCAGGAATAATGTCTTAGGCAGGTTTTACACAAAAAAGATAGGGCAGTATTCAGATCCTGACGGCCATTAATTAGCATCATCGCAAAAGCATCAGACCAACCCCCAACAAGGGCCCTTATGGAGTACTCACTCTTTTTTTTTTTTTTTTTTTTCTTTCCAAACCAAGAGTTTCTTTGTGTAGACCAGGCTATCCTTGAACTCAGAGATCCACCTGCCTCTGCCTCCCGAGTGCTGGGATTACAGGCCTGGGCCACCACCTGGGCCTGGCTAGAGAACTTACTTTATCAGATGAGGATAGTGAATCACAGAGGTTTAATAGCTTGCTGAGGGTATGTTACTAGTGTGGGAGTGGGGTGAAGGCATTGGTATTGTAATCTGGGAAGTAACTATTTTCTGTGTCTTCTCATTCATTTTCAAATGAAGGCATGTTTTGGGCACATTTCTGTGCCTGATGGGGAATGGGCTGGGAAGTACATTCTATATACTCAACAGCTTTTCATAAAATAATCGAAGCAGGCTAACTTTAAAAGAAACAGGTTTATGAGCTGCAGATCAGCCACATCTCAGATCCTTTAGCTTTGCTGCTCTCCTTGTGGGGCTCCTGTCCCCTCCATGTCCCTCTATCCCCACACCCTTCTTCCATAAGACTCTCTGTGCTCTGCCCAACGTTTGGCCATGAGTCTCAGCATCTGCGTCTATCCCCTGTTGGGTGGAGCCTTTCAGAGGACCCTCTATAGTAGGCTCCTATCCTGTTTCCTCTCTTCCACTGCTTCTGATATCTATCCTGTTTGCCATTCTGAATGAGATTTAAGCATCCCCCCTAGGGTTCTCCTTAGTGTTTAGCTTCTTTAGGTCTGTAGATGGCTATCCTGTATTATACGGCTAATATCCGCTTATAAGTGAGTGTATATCATGCCTGTCTTTCTGTTTCTGGGTTACTCAGTCTCCATGTGGATCTCTGAGTGAGGGGAGCAGGGGTTGCCTCTACCATGAACTTGGTTGCCAGCCCTTTGATCACTTGCCCCTGGTGATGCAGCCTTGCCAGGCCACGGAGGAAGAGGATCCAGGCAGTCCTGATGAGAGTTAACAAGATATGGACATATGGCAATAGTGGAGAATTCCCCCTTTCAGTGGACGAGGAGAAGGGGCTAGTGGGAAAGAGGGAGAGAGGATAGGACTGGGAAAGTTGAGGGAGGGGGCTTCAATCAGGATACATAATGAAAAATTTGTGAAAAAATATGCTATGTATGAAAAGAAAGAGAAAGGAAGAAAGAGAAAAAAAGAAAAAGAAAAAAACAGGTTTAGAGGTCTAATGCAGGCTCTTGTAAGGACTTCCTTAACATGTCACCTCCCAGCAGGTGGCAGTGTTGGGAAAAAATGCCAAGAGAGGGATCACAGTGTGAAAATAGGAAGCCAGAGAGGCTAGGGTCCCTATGTCCCTTTCTCAGGTACCAACCCCCTCCACCTGAGCATCATGCTTCCCACACATGAAGGTTGGGGACCTCCCCAGACATCTCCAAACCATAGCATGGTGTCTACAGGATATATACAGTCTGCCCCTGAGGGCATTGATGTTACAGGTTTGACGTCACAGCTGAAGCTGTCCTCTGTGGGCAGGGTCCTCAGAGCAGAAAGCATCCCCCCTCCACTGGCTCATGCAACTTTATTCCAAGAAGAGCCTGTCAAATCAGGTTGAGGGAAGTTGTGGGGAGATGTGTTTAAATGTTCAAAGTCTTCACTAGAAGGGGTGTGTCGCTCTTGGAAGAACTACTGCACCCCTCCCATCCAGCTTCTCTCTACACAGTCTGGGCTGGCCTCCTCCTGCCTCCCAAGTGCTGAGATTACAGGTGTGCATCACCCCGATGGCCCTGGGAAGACCTTCAAAGGGTGGATGGGGTGCAGGATGGAGACCTGGAGATCTCCATCTCCTGGAGATGGAGATCCTTTTTGTATTACCCTGGTATTCTGTGCAGGAAAGGCAGGGACTGGAGTGAGTGGCTGCTGAAAGGGAAGGAACCAGAGGAGTGGCAAGCTGCTGCTGGGGCTAGAGGCCATCTCTGGGGCTGGGCTCTAAGGCTCCCCAACATCGCTGGATGGTGAAGGCCCCTTGATCTTGGACTTTTTAACCTTGGGACATGTAAGCAGGATACATTAACCGTTGTTCATAGTTTACCTGTTCTGTGGTACGATTTTTCCACATCAGCAGATTCAACAAACTGCAGACTGAGACTCTTAAAAAACAAATTGCACCTGTCCCATCCAAATACAGACCTTTCTTGTTATTTCCTAAGCGGCACAATAAAACAACTGTGTACATGGTATTAATATTGTATTAGGTTGTAGAGATAGAAATAATTTCAATACACAGAAGCATGTATGTAGGTTATGTACAATAAAAGTTCTTTTTTGTGCAGTGAATGATTTTGCTACCCACAGGGGGTTCTGGAACTATTTCCTCTAGGATATAGAAAAACAGTTGTATTCTGCTATTTCAGCAGCAGCAAATGGACTGTGACAGACATCTACTGTGTAGACATTGAACTGGTCAGTTACTCCAATTGGGGTTTTCTTTTTTTTTTTTTTTGGGGGGGGTTCTTGGCTGGACTTTTGACAGTCACACACCCTACCACGTCTAATGTTCCGTGGAGAAAAAAGTAGGTAGGCATGTTTGCCACTCCTTTTCTCCGTCACAACGCACCAGGCCCAAGCCAACAGACCCTTGCCTCATGGAAGCTGTTAAAAAAATGTTTCTTCTGGGTCTAAAGCATTGCGTGGGATCTAGCAGCAGCTGGATATTCTCAGAGGTTAACCACTGTCTCCCCTTCAACCCCTGCTCACACATTGACGCGGCCATTTGCATGTGGCTCCACAATGCCTGCTGCCCTCCGTGTGTTCGTGTCCCAGCATCTCCTCGTGTCAACTTGATGGTGTATGCATCGCTGCCTATGAGTTTCCAGCCATTGCCTCCGGGAGAGGCGGCTCTCACAGTGCGCATTCGCCGAGTCCATGCTTCTTCATCACATCACTTAAAAGACAGCCAACACGTTTATCAACCATTTGCTCAGTAGAAGTTTAATGGAGAAAGTTGTCTCAAACAATCGGTCAAAAAGAACAGCTCTTTTACAAACAAGTTATGGCAGTGACGAGGCAAAACCCCAGGTCTGATTTCACATTCCTCTCACCTGGCCCTGGAATTGGGCAGAAGGTGAGTGAGGAGATGGGGCCATTAAAATGTTAGCTGGAGGAATTACAAAAATACACTCTGATGTAGCAACAGGGTGGTGGTGAAACATGCCATGGGGAAGGGCAACAACTGGGCAGGGAGGTGCTGTGGGTGCTCAGTGCCTCGGGAAAGAAGGACTCCTGGCTCCCGGCCGGCAGGTCTGGGTGTGGACACATGCTGTTCTGGGGATCACCCGGATGCCTGCGGAGACAGGAAGGGTTGAAACGTCAAACCCGGTAGGTCTTCTGAGCTGTCCATCCAGTTAGCCCACGTGACTAAAGCAACCCAAAGGAGGCCATGGTGGCATGTGGTTTCCAAGTGACCACAAGGGGTCGTTAATTGATGCCCTCCACTTACCTGCCTCTTTTGGGTACTACTGGCAGGAGTGACGCTTTGGTTTGTTTGTTTGTTTGTTTGTTTGTTTGTTTTTTGAGACAGGGTTTCTCTGTGTAGCCTTCCTTGGCTGTGAGTTCTGGACTCACTTTGTAGACCAGGATGGCTTCAAATTCACAGAGATCCACCTGCCTCTGCCTCCTAAAGTGCTGGGATTACAGGCGTGTGCCACCATGCCCACTTTTTATGTTTATTTTATCTATCTATTTATCTATCTATCTATCTATCTATCTATCTATCTATCTATCTATCTATTTATTTATTTTTGTGGAGTGATGCATTGGATAAAAGAGAGGGTGATGGGCTGTGACTTAAAAGGCACAGTGACAAGCTCTTCCCAGTAACACTCATCGCTGCTACCTGGGCTCTCAGCTTCACTGTCCTTAAAGCTCTGTCATGTGACCCAGGCTCTCTAAGCTAGGTGTTGAGAATATGGGGTCATGAGTGCCCTGCTGGTGTCTAGCAGGTCAAGGCCAGGTTCGGCAGAGGGTACTAGAGGTATAGGTCAGGGGAGAGGCTGTCCCCAACACCTGCTGTGCCCTTCTCAAAGTCTGTCTAGATTCTTCATTCCACTTCAGTGTTGGGTGCCCCCTTCCCGGATTCCAATCTTGTGAATACAGGTTTGGCATCGGCACCATAGGCTCCAAGAACAACTTTGGCAGTGGGAGCAGGCCAGAGTAGAAGGATTTCTATCATGCACAAAGCTGGTTGGGCTGTGTGTACGCAGATGAGCACAACCTCTCCTCTGGCTGGTGACAGGCTCGTGAACACACATCCACTCTGGAACTCAGCACCGAGAGTGTGAAGAAGAGAGAGAGAACGAACTGCTTACATGGCAACAGGACAGCCATTAATAATACCCAAATGAGCTCGCTAATGTACCCATCAGGAACTTTGCATGTTGAGCAAAGCAGCAGACAAAAGCCACTTATTAGCCCGGTTACAGCGCTTCTCAGCTGGAAGTATAATAGAAAAATAAGAAAAACCAATTGTCTGGCTCAAATAGTTTTTTTTTTCCTTTTTTTCAAATAAATTGATTCTTGCTAATGGGCTTAGTCTTAAACTGTCTTTAGATAAAGAATATTGTTGTGGTTTAGAATTAGATATGGGCTTTGCTGTCCCTTAAGAGCCCCTTTAAAAAATGCCATTAAGATTTCGAAGAATTCATGCTTATGTCTGGAAGATTCACTGCTAGATTCCAGACAGGTCAAGCTTTGAAAGAAGCAGAACGCTTGTCAAGAACTGAAGTTGTGACTTTAGAGTGTACCAGCTCACTCGGGTACTTTGGAGATGGATCATTCTGTTAAGAGAGATACGGAGGCCTTCTCCCCACAACCTAATAAATATGTCCATCTTTGGGGATAAGCTTGCTTCAAACAAGTGGCCTACCAACTTGGGCCATGTGGGCTGGCCCTGTGCCAGAGTGTGAGCACCAGAGATTAGCATATGGATGGACCTACCTCGAAAGAGGACTAGGAGGGACATGGCTACCTTGGACACATGGGAAGCAAAAAGAGACCATGTGTACTTCTCTGCTCTGCCTCAGAGATGGGCTGCGTCATATTGTCTCTGTTGGGATGCTATATTGTCAAACTAACGCTGCTTTTTGTATGAGAGGCTGTGTTTCCAACCTGTCTCGGGAGATGTGTGGGAGCCTGCTCCGGTTCACGTTAGCATATGTGAATGAAGGGACATGGACTTTCAGTTGGACTTTTCCTTAAATCCACTGTGCTAACTCCTAATGCCTTCCATAGTTATTCACTGCTGAGAACTGGGCTTGGAATCAGCCGGCAATAACTGGGCCTCTGCTGTGTGTTTTCTGATAGGGTTTATATGGCTGTGTAAGTGTGTACCCAAGGGTAGGAACGAAGCAAAAGAGAACACAAATGGCATCCTGGGAAGAAGCAAAAACTACAGGAAAAAAAAAGACTCATTCTTCCTTAGAATATTTAAAAACCCACTAGATCCATTGGGCCAAATTCTGGAATCCTGGTTCAGCATAGGTGTCGTTAACGATAAAGAGCTGGTCTTGCCTTGGCAAAGGGCCAGGATGACCAAGTTGTTAGTGGAAGAAATAAGAGCAAAAAGCACAACTCTGGGTCTCAGCAAAAAAGTCTTTGGCAAGGGGAAATGGGAAATATTAATGGTTTCCATGGAGTTCAGCCCAGCCAGCCTGTGCTATAGGGTGAGGTGGAAAAGCTGACTTTGAAGTAGAGCAGTAATCGGCCTTTTTGCAAATGGCTAAGAGGAGAACTGGCTATTGGTTTTTTTTTTTTTTTTTTTTTTTTTTCAGATAAAGTCTCTGAGGAAAGGTGAGCTGAATGGTTGCTATGGTAACTTGCTGTTAGAATTGGTCCACTTAACTGTCCCCATAGTAACTAAGCTCCTGGAGAGCTATAGAGGAATTAGTTATCTTAACATACTACTATTATCCCCATGGTAACCAGTCCCCGAGTGGGAGTGGTCAGCCTAAAGGAGAATGGTGGGAAAAACTTCGCTCTCTGGAGAAATGGGTAGGAGGCAGCTATGTGAATTTCTTCACCAACCAAACCTCTCAAGAGCTGGAGTCCTTGAGATGTGTGTGGGGAGAGGGAAGATGGAGTGTGAGCGTGTGTGTGTGTGTGTGTGTGTGTGTGTGTGTGTGTGTGTGTGTGTG